TCTGCTTTCTTTTCAACTGAGGTTTTCATGTTTTATTTGTTAGATTTTTGTTTTTAGTTTTTAAAAATGTTTTCTGGATATGAAATCCAGGATAGGTAAATCTATGGAGACAGTAACTGGATTAATGATTCCTTCCAGATATGACAGGGGAGATTGGGAGGAAATGGGGAGCTAATCACAATGAGTACAAGAGAAGAAAATGTTCTAACACTGATTGTGGTGATGATTATACAATTCTTGATGTGAATGAACTAGTGAATTGAACAATATGTAAATCATAGACCAATAAAACTGTTGAGAAAAAATTTTTAAGTTCTGAAAAGGAAATCAAGAAAATATCATTTTCCATAGCCATCCAAAAGATGAACTACCTAGAAATATAATTAACCAGAAAACACAACACTGTGCAAAGAATGTCCCTTGTTCAAAAAAAGGAAAACTTAACATTGTGAAAATGTCAATATCACCCAAAGCAATACATAAATGTAATACAATTTCAGTCCTGACTTCAGTATCATTCTTTAAAGAGACTGAAAAACTAATCAGTAACTACATTAAAAAGAGACCCCGAATAAGCAAAGCACTACTAAAGAACAACAATTTAAGAATCCACCTTTTTCCTGGTCACAAAACCTACTACACAGCCATGGTAGTCAAAACAGGTTGGTATAATGAGAGAATAAATATACAGACAAATGGGTCAGAATAGAGAATGCAAATAAGTCCACCTACAGAAAAGTGATCTTTGATAAATTGCCAAAAAACATCAAATGGTGATAAGCTAGTCTCTTCAACGAATGATCCTGCAAAACTTGATTTCTATTTGCAGAAGAATGAAACAGGACCTATACCTCACTCCATAAACAAAACAAAATGTAACCCCTAGAACTAACGATCATCAATGAAAAACCAGGAACTTAAAAACCCTAGGCACAAACACACTATCAAATACAATGAAAAGTATATCACAGCAAAAGATAAAATAACTGACTAGGGCCTCCTAAAAATAAGACTTACATGCATCAAAGAGTAAATGAGAGGAGAAAGGGAGGGGGAAAAGAGGAGCTGTTACCAAGGGCTCAAATAGAAAGTAAATGTTGAGAAAATAATGATGGCAACATATGCACAAATTTGCTTGATCCAACTGATGTATGACTCCAATAAAATGATCTTTTAATAAAAGAAAAAAAGCGTAAATGAGAATCCACAAACTAGGAAAAAATGTTTGGCAATGATATATTTGACAAGGACAAATTTCTAAAATCTTTAGAAACTGCATTACAAGCAAAAGATGACTAATAAAACTGAAAAACCGGGTAAGGAACTATAAGCTACTATGACTTTAGACTGTCCTTTCAAGGAGCACAACATCCTTCAAAGGCTATGCCAGAAGGACTTGATGTAGAAACTAGACAAATTAGATTTGTTTGTTCTTTTGGCAGTCCATGCTACTTTCCGTATTCTTCACCAGCACCACAATTCAAACACATCAATTCTTCTTTGGTCTTCCTGATTCTGTGTTGTTTTCATTAATGTTCTGCTTTACCTCTCTAGTTTCTACTATGCTCTACTTCTCTATCTCTCTTGTTTCTAATATCCACTGTTATGGCTACAAAGAACTCATACAGGATTCATGATTAAAGGGTTATTAGAGAAGTTAACAAGTTGCAAGGCTAGTGAGAAATGCTCAGAGTATTTGTTTTCCAGGACATATTATAAAGTTTCAGGTCTGCTAACAAATGCCCAAAGGGGCATATCGCACTGCTGGAGGTCTCAACCACAAGGTATTAACCTCAGAAGTATGCCACTCCAGTATTCCTCAGCCCACTCAGCTCCACTGTCTTGGGTCAGCAAGTCCAACCTCCCACATTAAGTGCCCAGAGGCACTCCACTCTACAAACCAACCTCCTTTACAAAGGCACTTATCTTTACTTGCTCCATGGATTGGGAAGTCTACCACTCTGTTCTATGGTCTGGCTCCTGGTCCTGCAGCTGGGCCTGATGGTATAGCTGTCCTCTGGATCCAGAAGGTTTACTGTGCAGGGATCTCAGGTTCAGAGGACATGCTTCACTCCTGGTTCTTGCTCATAAATGTAAGCCCTTCTCTTGCTTCTCGGAAGGTTCTTTTTTGCACAGCAAGCTGGCACAAGGGAATACTGTTCACAATTATTCACAGGTAAATCCTAGCCATATCTTGCCCTGCCTTCTTACCGGACTCATGCAGGGAAAGGTCGTTTTGTGGAAGTTAGAGACTTGCTAGAAGAGCCACATTAAATAAGCCACTACCCCTAGAATTCAGGGTCCAACTTTCACATGCATATGAGGCAACTGAAAATACCAGAGTCCGGTGCAGCTTAGTCCTCAATCCTTGCTTTTTAACACTTTAAAGATGTCTTCTGCAACAGACTGATCCAATAAAATGTGTCATTTGATTTCAACTGCTGCTTCCATGAGTACTGATTGTGGAGCCAAGCAAGACAAAATCCTTAACAAATTTAATCTTTTTTTAAAATTTTAATCATTTTACTGGGAGCTCTTACAGAGTTCATAACATTCCATAGTTCAATCACACCAAGCAGTGTTGTACAATTGATATCACAATCCATTTCAAAACATTTCCTTTCTTCTTGAACTCCTTGATATCAGCTCCCCTTTATCCCCTCCTTCCTCCACCTCCCCCACCACAGGAATCTTTATTCTCCCCATCACCACCCATAACAGTTTTGGGTTGGTTTTTTTAAAAAATCTTTTCTCCATTTATCATGATGTTACCTATTAGTGTAGTTGTAAGAATTTGGGTTTTCTTTACATGGAGTTGTAATCCATACTGAAGGTTACAATCTTTATCTTCATCAGCAAGTGCTTCAAATTCTCCTCACTTTCAGCAAGCAAGGTGTGTCATCTACACAGCATACGTTGTTAAGAAGCCTTCCTCCAATTGATACCGTATTCTTCTTTACACAATCCAGCTTCCTTATTTACTCAGTATACAGATTGAACATGCATAGTGAGCAATACAACCCTAACACACACACTGCTTGATTTTAAACCATGCAGTATTCCCTTGTACTGTTTGCACAACTGTCTCTTGTCCATGCACAGGGTCTGCATGAGCACAACCTGCTGAAACCTTTCCACTTTGGGTGACCAGCTGGTATTTGAAATACCAGTGACACAGCTTAAAGCGCCACAGCAACACACAAGCCACCAGAGTATGGCAAACTGACAGACAAGTGGTAGCCACTCAGTATATACCCTAAAGAAACCAAACACAAGCCCCAAGTAGATATAAGCATACCCATATTCATCACAGCACATACACAATAGCAAGAAGATGAAAACAACCAAAATGCCCATCAGCGGAAGAGAGGTTAAACTATGACATAGAAACACAATTAAAAACTATGCATCATTAAAGAATAATGATGAAACTGTGATACACCTAATGACATGGGTGGATTTGGAGGATTCTATGCTAAGCGAAGTTAGTCACTCACATAGAGACAAATAAAGAAAGGTTATTATACCAAAAGAAACAGACTCAATTTACCAAGTGTGGGAGGGTAAGATAAGGAAGGAAAATTAATAGGACATAAGGAAGATAATATCCAACATTAGAGAGAAGCAAAGGGGGTGAGGGGGTTGGCAAGGCTGGGCAAGCTAATGGTTGCTGTTAGAATATACCAAGGCTTGAGTGAGGCTCACTTCCCTCCTCAAAATGACATCCTTACTCTTCAATACTCTAAAGGGGTCTTGTACAGATTTACCCAATTCAGTGCATTGTTTGTTCTCTGGATTGCTGCTTCCATGAGCACTGACTAGTACCTGAGTGGCCTCATATTTGGCCTTCTCTACCCCTCAAAATCCTAGCCCACCATAAGCTTGAGAGGGTCTCTGCATGTTCCTACAGGAGGCCAGATGTCTTCTCTTTGAATCAGGAAAGGAACAGAATCAGTTCTAACCTTTGGCTGCAATGTGGAGTTGACTGGACTGATATGTGGAAAGTGGAAGGAGGGCAACATGAACCATGTTTATAAACACACTCCAACTACTACAACGTAAGCATTAAAAGACTGGACTCCACTTGCTAAAATGAATAAAACACAAGCAAAAAGAATATGTTAGTCATTTCAGATGGCAGAACTGAAATGATCAAAACTAGTCATTTTTATCTATTCCAAAATATTTTCCTAAGTATTACATAAATCCTGAAATAGGCTTCCAAACTCACAAATTTGGACACTTCTGTAATATAATTTGTCCTCCATTTTTATCCATTTTTTAATTGTTTCAGTTAAATTTTATTTTTTAAGTGAGGGGAAAATACACATGGATTAAGCCTCTAGTCACTAGAGAGTCTAGTGAATCTCCTCTGACCAAAGACCAGTGATGTGAATAGCCCTGCTATCATGCAGAGTAAACTGGAAAGTTTATTACTGCAGATACAGTTAAGATTTAACACCTTATTATCTGATCTCCCTTTTGACTCATTTTAAATTTTAGTTTTTAATATTTTCTGCTTTCCTTTTGATTGAAGTTCTTACTGTTATTGTTGTTGCCTTATTGGGGGGGAGGGGGTAGATGTTTTCCAGTATATAAAATCCAGAATAGGTAAATCTGTAACAACAGTAACTGGATTAAAAGTTTCTTAATTAATAGTTTCCCAGCTGTGAAGCACAAGAGTGGATGTATAATGACAATAACTGATACAAGGTGTTAAAGGGAATGTAGGGGCGGGAAACGGAGATAGGGAGGGAAGGGAGTTCAATAGTAAATAATGAGCGCAGGCGGGGAGAGGGAACACGAGCTGATCGCTGATGCACAGCTCATTTTGGGGGTGATTCAATTCGGGGGGGGGGGGCAGATGCTCTAGGATAGATGTGGTGGTGATTGCACAATTCCCCCTTCATATGATTAAACAATTGAACTATTCAATTGTGTGATATGTAAATTATATGCTAATAAAACTATTGGGGACAAAAAGTAACTCATTTCTCTATTGTAATTATTAATACTTGCTTCACATCATATAAGTACTTTCAAAATACTAAGTTAAATGAACCAAAAAGATGATTTTTTTTAATGCAAAATAAGTTCACTTGAATCACCTTATTATACTTCTGCCGTTTTACAGAATCTAGTTTCCTGCTGATGTCTCTGCTGGTGGAAGCGTGAGGGCTAAGTTGTTCAATAATTTTATTGACTTGCTTGAGGGAAGCTGTACATGACCTGAAAAACAAGAGAAGTTGTCTAGTTCCCACCGAAACATTTTGTAGTATAATGCAAATGCTAAAAACAATTTTTTCTTTTAATTAACTAAAAGATAAGAGAAACTCAACCAGAATGCACATTCTTGTTGGCTAAACTATAACTTGAAGAGTCATCACAGGTTTAAGATTGACGTCTAGTGTTTTTCTTCCATCTGGCTGACTTAAAACAGCTCACTCTCATTTGTAAACTGATTCAATCGTTTTTAAGTGCTTAATTTATTAGCTACTGACCGTACTAGAACAATGTAAAATAAAGTGTCCTTTCATATGAAGTTTTGAAAGCCCTACAAATGTTTAAACAAATTAGCTATCTGGGATATTTTATTTCCTACAAATGGAAGATTTATTGACCATAGCACTATTTTTGTGGTAAAAGGGGGGGGGTCAATAATAAATTACAGGTGTCTCCCACTTTCCTGTTAGCACTTTCAGGTAAGCATTAGGCTGCTAACCAGCCACAAGGCTGACACTTTGAGCCCACTAGCCGCTCTGCAGAAGAAAGATAAAGCTAACTGCTCCCATGCAGATTTAGTCTTAGGTTCACTGAGGAACTGGAATCAACACGAGGACAGGTTTTTCAAAAGTTCGCTTTGTCACTCTTACGAATGACTCACAGCACTTGTTTGCATTAACCAAAAGAAATCTGAAGATTTTCACGTTTATGAGAAAAAGGTGAAAAATGAAACTAGTGTTGTTTGCTTTGCAGTAAGGCTGCCTTTAAGGTAGTGGTGCACGTGTCAAGCAGTGGGAGTGGTATTGCCAAACTCCTTCCTTCCCCAGGAACCACACTCAGCACCTCAGCATCAAGTTGCCACAGCGTTAAAGTATTATCAGTGAACCACGAATGTCACAGTTGTTTTAGGTTTTGCATATTATTTGGCATGGGATTTGAATGGTTATTTTGAGTCAAGGAACACAATACTTTCTCCTATGTAAATTAATGCAACTGCTTTATTGCTTTACACCATTTCATCTTACAAATGGTTTCTTAGGAATGCTCTACTTCAGTATAGTGGGGGAAACCGTACTCTTAAAATAAATACAGAATTCTAGTTTCTAATTTTCAAAATACAAACCCAATCTTCCTGACACTTATGCAACTTTCTGTTTGTATCCTTTGTGAATCTCAGAATGAAATTTGTTTTCCATGGGAGTCACTGGCTGTCAAAGACACTGTGTAACCATCTGTCTGACACTATCAGCCTTGTGACTACAGCATACTGTATCTAAGAAATCTGTAAAAAGGAGCATGATACAGGCATGCAAACCCACCTGATGGTCACTACCACTATGCAAAGATACCTGCTACTCAGAAGTCCAAGAGAACACATTGGGGAACAGGAAGGACCACGTCAAATGACTGGCTCTGGAATTATTCAATGAGAGAGGAATGTGGGTAACTGACACATACTCAATCCTCCATGTCCTCTTCTCGCGTCTCCTAAGCCTTACTTTAGGCTAGATTCAAAGCTTCTCCTCAATCCCCATCAATGTGTTAAGCTCAACAGAGCTCACTCATTTTCAGTCTATATCACGATATAATTTCAACCTCCAACTATCTCCACAGAGCTTCATCTTTAGTTTAAAAATTAGAAAAAAAACAGGGGAAGGAGAAAGTTCTTTTTTTCCAGCTATATATTTTTATTCCTAGAAATTCAAATATAAGGAACTGCCAAAGGATTGAACATTCAGTTTAGGGACAAAAGGCTAGGGGGAAAAAAGCACAGGGCAAAGAATAATTTGAAGGCAGTAGATGTATTCCTGGTATCTCAAGTGGTGAACAACAAAACTTTAGCTGCAGTTCTCTTGAGAACTATTTTGTACACCTGCAAGTTGTAGGGTACTGTTAGTAAAGCACTTCTCTTTAAGGCATTATGGATGAAACAGGCTTTTTATGAGCTACACTGAGCTATACTATGTATAGTTGCTCCAGTGAGAAAGAGGTCATGTTCAAATTTGAAGCTGATGACTACTTTTATTGACTTCTACCAACCCAAATAAGAAATTGTACAAACTTCCCAAGTTTCTATACTCTAAGTTTCTCATAGTCTCTAAAGCGGAGATGCTATATACAGTATACAAACTCACTTTCGATCATCCAGGACTGACCAATACTGTTTCTCTGCATCAGCAAGCTGCGCTGCACGGCTGGCTTCATGGACAACATAATCTACCTGCTGAAGAACACCCTGCTCCAGTACTTCTTGATCATAGACATCCACACCCAAACCCTGCAGTTCAAGGGCCTGAGCGCTTGGGTCCACTGCCTGGATCTGACGCCTGTCGATCTGTATCCTGTCTTTGGAACTTCCAATGAGCATGCCTTTCCGTGGAAGTTCCAACGTACATGTTTCTGACAAAGTGGACAGCCCATTACTGGAGGAGCAAGAGGTGAGGCTTTTCTCCACCTCTGTATCTGGCACACCATTTTCTTGCTTGATGACCATCTCTTCATCATCACTGACATATTGACTCTGTAAACAGTCTTGGTCCTGAGGTTGACTAGGGTGGGGGATTCTCTCATTTGGCATTCTCCACACTATCTAAGAGAGAGAGAAAAAAATAAAGTTAAGTCTTCTGGTTATAAAGAATTGATCTTTACAGATGTCCTTAATTATTTTGTAACTAAAGCAAACTGATTTCTCAAAAGTAATAATTCTCCAATATGTAATACATACTTAAATTACTTGTAAGGCACAAACTCCACGCCTTAAGTTCTGACAGTAGGTAAGAAAAATTAACCATCACCAAAGGGACAGAGGTGGAAGAGAAAAAGTGCAGTGTCGTCAACAAAGGACATGAAATAGCCCCTAGAAGTCAGCAGCCAGAATCCGAAATGACACTCCATAGATTTTCCAGAACAGATAACGATACCGGCCACAGTTTGCCAACTTAGCAACTTTATTATGTTACAGCATAAATTATTTACATTATAGCAATATGATCAATTGTAACATCCAGATTTAGTGATGTAAACAAAGAACTTCTGTATGAATCTGATATTAGAAACTCCAAAAAAAATGGCCATACTATCCAAATCAGAACCAAAGATTTA